TGGTCCAGCTCTGTCTAGGGGAAGGTATTGTCCCAGCACATGGTTGTCAGTGCTCCTGTCATCATTTGTGTGAAAGAAGAAAATGAGCCTTTTTTAGCAGGGTGACTTGTGATTATCAATGGAGGCCTTGTCTCCCACTACAATGGGCAGTTATCTTAGGGCAGGACCTTAGGCAGAAATCAGTTACATAAACTGTAAAAGCGCCCAGGCCACTGTATCAGCCATAATGGAGCAAGAAGTAGTTTTCAGGAGAAAATGCTTAGTCAGGTGTGAAAGCCTTAAAAAAAAAAGATAAACTGTGACTCCACTAGCTAAATGGAACCAGGTAAAATTAAATCTCCGATTTTTTTCAGGAAAATCTTCATCACTGGCATTGAATTTTTATGCTTCAGAAGAGGATGAGGACCAAGTTACATATAGGTGGTGGGTTTGGTTGGTTTTAGCTTTTCAGTTAACCTGAATGGTTTGCAGTTTCCCTACTGAAGTTTGGGGTACCACCCAGAGTGGCTGCTGATGTGGGTGATCCCTGGGGTAAGAGTGGTGCTTAGTGACTGGCGCTCTGCTTTGGGTGTTGGTGACCCTAGCTGGAAATGGAAGAATATTCCAACATTTGCAGCAATATGTTGAAATTTGCTTTTTCTTGCAACTTAGTTTTCGGATTTGAGGGGAGTATGTGTCATTCCTACAAAAAGCCAAGAGAAAAAGAAGTTCTCTTATGAGCATCTTTGGAACTGCAGAGCAGCTCAGGAACATCTGTTAGCATTTCACTGGCCATAGTCAGCATAACTGCAACAGCACCATCTGGAAAATACAGGGAGACAAGTTATAAACGTAGTTTTTAATCTGAATTTTACCCTTTGCTTATCCCAGGGAGCAACTCCAGGAGGGTGAGCTAATTCGAGACCACTGTCCATGTTCTGCATCTACCCTGGAGGAGGGGAAAAGGCTGACAAACCCTCCTCTGTGCTACTTTTGTTTTATTGTATCAGACCCATAAAGGCACTCTCAGGGCCCATCTTTCTTCCGCAGAAAGGGAAAGCAATGGGGAAGAGGAGGACATGGCAAAAAAGACAGGCGGAGCTCTAGTTCCATTTGTTTTCAGTGTCTGTTGATTAATAGGCTTTAAGGTGAATGGCAAGCTCTCATTATGCCTCCATTACCCATAGCAGAGGAAGGGGAGGCGGCTCAGGGGGTCGGGGTGCAAGTGCCTGGTCAGTCCCTCCCATGCCACATTCCCAGTTGCGGGCAGTTGGGTGCGGGCGGCAGCGCATCCCTGCATGGCAAGCAGGACTTGAGGCTTTAAGTCCACTTAAAAGGTCATCCGGGTTGGGGAAGGGGGTCCCTCCCTGGCTGTGTCTGTGCTAGCTGTGTCAGCTGTGCCAGCAAACACCAGAGTTTCAGGCTGGGGCAGGATCATCCCCTGCCCTGCTCTTGACTGCTCAGCCAAGGATGCATTACAGTGGAGTCTCCCACCAGCCGTTCATCAGAGGCTGACTGCTTTGGCACTGGGATTGTGCAGTGGCATGATGGCTTGTTTTCAGTCTGGGTGGCTTTTTTTTTTTTAGCAGACCTGCTTTTACTAAACCTGTGTTATCCTGGCAAGGACGAATCCTCTGTCCTCTCTGGCATGTTTTTCTCTGAGTTTGAGTTTATACCATGTGTTTATTACCAAAGCCAAACAAGCTATGAATTTGCAAACAGAAATTGCAGTAACAAACTCTTCCTATTTAAAGGTTGGTTTCTCTTTGTGTGCTCAACAATACAGTGTTTCATCTTGTACAAGTCTTATGTTTCTTTCAGAGACTTAGGAACTATTGATTTATACAGCATGTATTAACTTCTTCAATAAATGGGGAGTATTCATCAGTGGGGTGTATTAAATTGGGCTGTATACGCATAGAAGTATCTTTCATCCTATTAATGAAATGTCCTTACCATGCAACAAAGACTAATACACAGCAATTTATACACACAATCCCCTGCAGTTTAAATCTGAACTTCAGATAGTTTTTTTTGTTCCCTAAAGGCACCTATCAGAACTTAGGCTAAATGGATCTCAGTATCCCTCTCAAACATATATCAGTCCAAAATTTCTTGTGCATGTTGTGTTTTTTTTTTTTTCATTCCAGATCTCCATTATTGTTTAAAGTCATCTGTGTTTAAGCACTCCCAGAAGCATTTCCAATTCATATAGAGAGATTTAGTAGTTGAGTCCCTCTGGGGACAATTTCCTCTGGTTTGCTTCAGGCAGGGGTTATCAAGGAAAGCAAACTTCTGTTGTTTTTTTGCAATTCTTTACCGTGCCCTCTAACCCAGCATACAAGACCCCAGCTTTCAGTGGAGTGGAGTGATTTATCAGCAGATGGCTTGGTACTTTGTAGATGCTGGGATTTCTCTCTAGAAATCTCCACTTGTTCCTGTCCTATTACCACATGCCCTGATGCTAATCTGCACGTACCAGTGCAGCTCCCCTTTCTGTGCCTGACACAGCCATAAATGGAGTTCTTCAAGTTGCCAGAGAAATTCATGCATCTTACAATGGCTTTTAGCTTAAAACTACCCTTGATAAAGTACTCGCAAATGTATATTGAAAAAGGGCCTTTTGCAGGGTGATGGCTGAGGTCGTTTACTAGATGTCTTCTATTGATGGCTTCTGTGGTTTACCTTTCATTGCCAGTGGATGGGGTTAGGACCACACTTGTTACTCAGGCAGAGCTCCCATTGACTTCAAAGGAAGATGCATGTGCAGGATTAATCCTGCTCTTTCCCAGCTAGTCCTTTCTTTTTCTCTTTTCCAAGGAAGCTTAGTTAACTTCAGGAATACTGTTTTTAAAGGACAGCTTATTTATTTAGCGTATTAGGCATGATTATCTTGGCTTGGGAATTGTGCCTGCTATTCTGAGTGGAGCTACAGTCCCTTTTCCCAGTGTGTGATAAACAGTGCAAAACAGAATACAAACGTAGCCCAGGGTACTGATACAGATGCAGACTGGTTTTTGAGGGGCAGTGGATCACACTCCTCTGTCCCAGGGAGCATATTTTTGAGCATGTAGATGACAGTTTCTGCTTTTCTCTCGGTACATTCTCCCCACACTCACACCTCTGCTCTGGCATCATCAGAGTGGCAAAAAAAGTGTCCTACCCTTACATCTAGTACCTTTATATGAATTGTTTGTTTGACTGCAGGGTGGTCACCCAAGTAAAAGTGACTTACCTGGGGAAAACTTTGAAGACTAAGGTTCAAACTCATGGTTGTTCATTTGTAATTATTTTTTCCCTTTTTCTTTTTTCTCTGAAAGGTGTTAAGTTAAATGCGTAATATTTTAGCACTCAGGCCATTTTATGGTGATATTGTGGGGGGTCTTGGTATATCAAAGCAGTGGGTGGTAATCTCCCAGTTTACATGTAACCCCCTAAGGTATATCTGGCTTTGGTGACACAGGCATGTAAGTCCAGCTTTCCACTCACGTGTTGTTTCTTGTTTGTAGGCTTAAGTCTGACCTTCAAGTGTTATTCTGTCGCATACTTATTTTTTTAACTAACCAGTTCCAGTTTCTATGAAAATAAGCTTTCCATGGAAGGCAGCCCTCAATGTCTGTCAGGATGTGGGTGAGAGTCTTTTGCAGTGATGTGAAGGCAGAGTTGGGAGACCACAGAGCTACAGCAGCTACCAGCCACACTGTGGGTCACCCTTAGTCTCAATCTTAATTGAGAGTTCAATTCTTGGCCAGCAAAAATCCCTCTTATTGGGAATGGTTGTTTTTTGTGAACCAGATGAAATGGTCATTTGGCATATAATGTCATGTGTTGTCAAGTAGGTGTTTGCTAATTTGCGTGGTGTGTAATATGATTTGTTATGTGAAGCCCTTGCCAAACCTTTCAGTTACTTTCAACTGCTCAGGTTGGTTCTCTTGGAAGAGAACAGGTTTGGGGTTAGAGCATCTCCTTTGGTGTTTTGAATTAAGGGACTGAATCCCCATAGCTCCTCTGATGTGAAACCGTTATGGATCTGTGCAGCCAAAAGTTGTCCTTGGTTGTAAAGGTGGCAGAAAACCTTACCTACAGCCCAGCCAATGCAACATGCTGTAATTCATAGCATTGACTGTTGTGACCATGGTCTGTGCTGTATGGTGGCCTCTTGACATGGGACTCTCCTGTGCTGTGTGTGTTATTAGAGAGGAATCATTCCATGTAAGGGTTGCAAAAAGAAATAAGCACAGTAAAAGTTGTGGGAAGCATAAGCACTGCTCTTTGGCTTGCTTCTCTTGGATACACATTTTTTGTGTGTGTGTTATTGAAGAGATGAGACAAATAACCTATTTACAGCTGGGGCTGGGGGAACCTTCTGGGGTGGAGGAGGCTGGAGGAGCCAAAACTGAAGTTTAGCTTGACCAAAGCATGATGGAGGGACTTCGCGTTTATTCAGGGGAAGACTGATGTTTCTTTTCCTCCTCGCTCTCAGTCTGTCTTTCCTTTTTGATTCACCCAAGTCTAGAAACTCATTCTGAAAGACTAACTGAATTATTTTTGAAATGCTTTTAAGGGAAGCTCAGAGCGTTCAAACTGAGATCAAGTAATAACTTGTCTGAAGTGACATGGTGAGGGTGCACGTTTGTGGGTGTTGGGGAGCGAGCGATGGGGTCAGAACCATCTTCGGGCAGGAAGGCGAGTAGGAGAGCACTGGCAGACCCTGATCGACAGCGGCGCTATCAGGGGCCGCCGTGGTATCGCTACTTTATTTTAATGTGATTCCTTTTACTTGATGTTAATGCAAGTTGTTCCTTACTTAAAGTAATAAAAGGAAATGAAGACACATTCTAAAATGAAACCTGACTCTAATCCATTCATCATCTAATACCAGCCTCTTTATCTTTGCTGGTACCTAATCTGGTTAAATGTCCCTGTTGTAGGATTTTAGTGAAAATCCTCTATGGGGAATAGGGTTTTTTGCAATTGGATTACTCGCAGTAAATGGTCCAGCAGTTCGCTTGTTTCAGCTTAATTTTTTCTTTGTGATCTTGTAAGGGTAAGTTACAGTTCAGCCTGCCTTTTCCTTTCATTCATTCACTCTTTTTTTTTTTTAATTTGTTGCTAAGAAAAAAAAATTCTTTTTTTTTTCCCCAGAGCTAGGAATGTGACAGAGAAAACCTCATGATATCTCCATGATTATTCCCCCCCACAAGAGTGTTAATTTCAATGCCTTTATCTGTGTTTTTGCCATTATTTATATAGCCGAATATTTTAGAAGCTTAATTCATCAGTATCCAGTTTCCATTTATTAGCGCTCTCTGATGAATTGATAATTAATCAGCTCTTCTAAAAAATATATATATAAAATATGCAGGTGATCGCTTGTCAGCTTAATGCTTGCTGATGAAGGGAATACTCTAGCACTACAAAGGCTTTTTATCTGGAGTATTTGCAATGAGCAGTAAAATGCAGAACTGAAAGTGAGGACAGGAAAGGGAAAGGAAAAGACCTACAGGTCAGTGAGTATTTGGGTCTCTTGCTAATTAAATGGGGGGCTCTGTCAGCCCCTCACCGAGGAGTCTGCCTGCATCTTTGAGGTGAAGCACAAGATTGTAAAATAAAAAGGATAAAATTTAAAGAGTGTCTGTTCATCCATCCAGGAGCATGACAGGTCAAAAAGATTAAAGAAACTCAAGAGATGTGAGGAGGTTTGTTTTAAGGAACAGGGTGGGAAAACTACAAGGGTGACACCAAGAAGGAATCCGGAAAAGTCTGAGGATCATGTTGAAATCCCGGGTACTCAGATTTCTGTATGTCGTGCCTCGTGCTGTGGTGGGGAGTACCCAGCACTCCTCTAACGCTGTCAACCTTTTTCTCTTGGCAGTCTAACAAAGTGCCAGTTGTGCAGCACCCACACCATGTACACCCTCTTACGCCGCTTATCACGTACAGCAATGAGCATTTCACACCGGGAAACCCTCCTCCACACTTACCAGCTGATGTAGATCCCAAAACAGGTAGGTGGGAAATAGTTTTGGGTTTTTGGAGAGTGGGTGGGTGATCTTTCAGTTTTGTGTATTATGGAGAAGGAGTGTGGGAAGAAGGACTTCCCATGCTGGAGCACCAAAGGGGCATGTAAACTGTCAAACGCACACAAGAAACCAGACAAAATAGTTTCTTTTTAAGCCAATTAGGCTTCAGAAAACCTACTGGGTGAATTTTCGTAAAGCTTCTGTGCACAGTGACACCAGAATTGAATGTGTGGGGTCATTCACAGGTGTGTTTCTTTGCAAGCATGATATCCCACCTAGCAGTTTGATCCACCAAGTTCTTGGTTTGCATGCAAGACCCAGAGAGTTAAACATGTACGTTCTGTGATCTGCACTTAAAAAATTGCAGCTGGAATTTTAAAGGTGGTGGGTCATGACCGGCTTCAAAATGAATCTCTTTTAATTCCCCAAATCCCATTGTTTCTGTGTCAGGAGTTCAGCCATTTTTCTCCTATAATGTTGAATTTCCATCCACTCTAACTACTTAGCTCCAGCTCTATACTTGCAAGTCTTTTCCCCAATGTAAGTCTACCCAACTCTCAGTTCAGCCTGAAGGGCAGTCTTCTTGAATATAGAGCACGGTGTAAAACCCTGACTAGATTTATTGTGTTATAGAGTAGAATTTACATGTTATTCTAACTTTTTAAGAGTCCCCGTTTAACCTGAGGGCCCAGAGAAGTCAAACAGTGTCAATCTTCTTTCCTCAGGCTGCATTGAGATCCTAGTGACAGTGGTTTTGGTTTTGTTAATCCAAATCCCAGCTAGTTAATTGGAAAGTACATCAGAAACTGAATTCATGTCAAAGGAATCGCTCTGTGTCAGCCCTAGTGTGCAGATAATTTATCTAAACTCCAGCCCTTGAATGAGGCTGTGCATTAGCTGTTTTTCACTCCCTACACTTCAGCTGGGGCCCCATTTTAATTGTGCTTAATGCTAACTTCACATGGCTTAAAAGGAATCCCTCTCACCATCCTTGGGTATTGCAAGTGAATGCAAGTCAACCTCTCATTTAAATAATGGTAGTAGTAGGGAATAGCTTTTAAATGGTTATTGTAAAATATATGATTAACATCTGCAGACTGTTTACTTTTCTTCTGTGAACTTTCTTTCAATTGTGCAAATAGCTGGCCAATGGTTAAAGCCTTGCTAATCTGTTTGGGTTTTGTGATGGAGAAAAAGCAATGTCTGCATGAAAATGTCACACGAGGAGATTTAATTTAGAGATTAAAAGCTTCCTGAATGACTTAAAAAAATAGTTTTTAGCCATGAATACAGTACCACTTCCAGTTAATGCTCTCTGTTTTAGTTTTGCTTCTACTGTGTAATTGTGCTCTGGCTTGTTAATTGAAAGACTCAGTCTTGTAACCTTTACTCCTCTGAGTAATTCCTACTTGCTTTTAAGGTAAGGAGCATTAAGATTCAAGGCTTGTGTCTGGAGCTGCTTTCTGCTCTCTGAGTAGGAACTGCACTGTTTTTGGAGAGGACAGATGGGCTCTCTGTCTTCCCCTGCACACCTTCAACATCTGCCCCCCATTTTACCAAGCATTTCCAGGGGCTCTAACCTCCACTCCTACATTTCGGGAAAGGTTTCCTAGGTTTGCTCAAAATCAAACATAATTTGTAGTCATGATGACTTTGTAACTCATTTTGGAGGTAACTTTGGAATAATACCATGTTATTGAGTACCCAGTCAACATATGGGTAGGTCCTATGCTCTTTGAGACTGAAATAACCATGAAGTTGATAGAGGGACCATTTAATGCAGCATCTGGCACACCAAAACTGTAGCTGAAATTCTGAAATTCTGAAATTCTCAACATAAACAACAAAATAATTATCTCTGATTGGAGAGGTGACTGAGGAGAGAATGGCCTCAGTTGTTCTGGTTAAATTTCATTTAACAAGATGCCAGGAGGTTCACTTTATAAAATAAGACTTTAAAAACCCAAAGTGAAGTCATGAACATTGTAATAAAAATGAATAGATAGGCATTTAAAAACATACGTACTTTTTCCTTATATTTATTTATTTCCACATCTCAATACTAATGCTGCTTTATGTTCCTCTTCCACAGGAATTCCAAGGCCTCCACATCCTCCAGATATATCTCCTTATTATCCATTATCACCGGGCACTGTAGGACAAATCCCCCATCCGCTAGGATGGTTAGTACCACAGTAAGGAGTTCCATTTTTTAATTTTCCTTTTTCTTTTTTTATACGTAAAATTTATGTTAAAAATTGTGAGTGTGCGCGTGCATGTGTGTGCATTGAGATAAGTCTGTTTGCCAACTGCCACTTCATTGAGTGGTTATGAATTTCATGGCATCATAGAATCATAGAATGGTTGGGGTTGGAAAGGACCTTAAAGATCATAGAGTTCCACCCCCCCCTGCCATGGGCAGGGACACCCTCCACTAGCCCAGGTT